AGTAGTAGCACAAAGAGGCGGCAGTAGTGAAATGGCTCGCAATTCATTTCATTTCAGATTCTTTTATGTGCTATGAAAAAAAAATGTAAATAAATTCAGCCATGAATGGGTTAATAAAGCCAAAGTGGAATGAATGGAGAAATAGAAAGAATTTCCTAGGAAATGTTATAGAAATCGACAAAAATGCTTGCACTAGTCATGTGTTATTCTATGAAGAGCGGTTGTTTCATATTTAGAGTAAATTGTTGCAATTTAGACCAGTAGTGTCCAACCTTTTTTGTGCCACGGCACACAAGGTGCTACGTTATGACTAATACCGCACACAACATACGGTTCGTGGGTTATTCCAAATTTGTACACGACACACTATTGTGCCACGGATCACGGGTTGGCCATCACTGGATTAGAGCTTAGGAAAAATAGCACGATGATAAATTCTCATCTTTGGTAGGAGATAAATGAGAATAAAGCTACGAAATCTTTTTCCAACATGTTGTTATCCCCTTGGTTCAAATTAAGACATAAATCATTTGTAGATCAGCCAAAAAGTCCAGCTTCAAAATAACTCCTATCCAAAAGACTAGCCAGAACTCAAAAAACGCAAGCAACTCAATAAAGAAATTCAAAAAAATACCTGTTCAACACCCAAAACAATCCTCTGGCTGTTTACTTGCCCTTTCTTATGTGTAGCTCAAAAATCGGAAATATTTTATAGATTTTTAACTTTATTAAGCTTATTTTTTATATAATTCATTAAAATAGCAAAGCAGAGCATAGAAATTCACAAAAACAATCCTATCCAACAACCTCAGAAAGTTCCTTACAAACATTTCATTCAAAAATGACACCAGCATCCTTAGGTATTGTTATCTTCTCAGTAGATCGGAAGTAACGACTGCAAAAATTCATAATTTCAAATTTTCTATCAATCTTGCCTCAAAATGAAACTATTTCCTTACCCCTGACGAATATTAGAGTTATCAGACACAACACTAGCGTAATAATTTTTCTTCAATGGAACAAAATGATCACTGACGGCAAAATCTTGATCTTCTGTACCGAAATTAAGAGCAACAAATAATTGTGAAGTTTTAGTTTCACGCTTAATGATCAACAGATTGTTGTCAGCAACTGTGACAGTTGATCCATCTTGTAAGACTTTCCTGTTCTTCCTCATACGAACGAGCTTCCTAAAAACATTTAAATGACTTCCTGTCTTATATCTCTCGTTCCTAACATTAACGCCTGTTTGGTAGTTTGGATTAACAGGAAGCCAAGTTTTACGTGATGTTGAGAATCCAGCCATAGATGAGTTATCCCATTGCATTGGTGTTCGACATGGATCACGATCAACTTCCCAATAACTATCAGGACCTGCTAAAATTGCTTGCGGATCAACAGTTTCATTATAAGGAATCCATAGATCAGTCATAACGATTTCTTCTCCATAATATGTTACAGCAATTCCAGGCAACATCTGAACCAACATGTTAATAGCATCACCACGATTAAGTCCGAATCTATTAACCACACGATGATGATCATGATTTCCAACAACCCAATTGGGAACAAACTCAGCACCTTTTGGCATATTATTGAGCCAATTATCAATGTGTGTCTTATAATCAGCTGGTGTGCTGTTTGCATTAACACCATCCATTATTTCAAAATTAAAAGGAATTTGACTTCCAACACGTCCGTAAGAGTTACCATAATATTCAAGTATTCTATTCAGTGGTCCATAAGCTTCTGTCATTATAATTCTTTGATCACCGCCATGCTGTTTTGTATAATCTGCTAATAAGTCATGCCAATCATAAATAAGATTGTAAGTTTCAGGTAAATCCCTTGTGTAGTTCTGGAAAAGGTAGCATGTTGAGTTCGTATCACTACATTCTCCACTTAGTGCTTCATCAGGATAGGTTCCATCTGAGAATTGAGTTTCAAAAATATGAGGAACTGCATCAATACGAACGCCTCCAATTCCTCTGTCAAGCCAGAACAGTAAAACATTTTTCATTTCATTGATAACATTTTGACTTCCTGTAAATTAAGATTTTAATTTACCAAAAACTCAAATTCTCAAAAAAATAATATTTTTTACGGAAGTTCAAGTCAGGTTGACTAATCAAGAACTGATGCAGATAATATTCCTGTCGTTTCTCATTCCATTCCCATATCGAATTACCAAAGATACTATTCCAATTATTTGGAGGTTCTCTTTCTCCAGTTTCGCTATTGATTTTAGCAGGTGCCCAGACATAGAAGTCCTTGTAGTATGGATCATTAGCTTCTGATAGTAAGAACCATGGATGCTGATCTGATGTGTGATTTGGAACAAAATCAAGAATGAGCTTGATGCCCAAACGTTTGCAGACTTTAATTAAATTATCAACATCAGCTAGAGTTCCGTATTCCCAGTGAATGTCTGTGTAGTTGCTAATGTCATAGCCGAAATCTACCATAGGTGATTTAAATATCGGAGACAACCAAACACCATCCATTCCAATTTCCTTCAAATAAGGCATCTTTGAAGCGATTCCTTTGATATCACCGATCCCGTCTCTAGAATTTTGATTGCACAAAACTTAAAATCTTTTTAATCTTGACTTGAAGCTTCAGACATTTTAATTCGAAATTAAAGCAAATGTCCAAAACTTATTAAAACCACAAACCCATCAGAATCCTTAAAGCTTCTCGGATAAATTTGATAAAAGTTTCCTCTTTCCCACCAATCTTTTTTAGCTGCTTGAGCAATTATTGAAGCCGCAATGATTATGAAAATTCCTACAAAGATTTTCATTTTCTTGTTTTTCACCACAAAAAAATTCACTAGTTATTATTGTTATTGATGTTGATAGGATTTAAGTTTAGACTGATAACTGATAACAAGCTGAAGAATGATGAAGCTTTTTATAGTGAAAATTGCATGGATGTTACACAATCATCTAGATTCAAACTGAGTCAATAAGCAGCTTTGATGAATGATAAAATTATAAACATAATTGTATGAAAAACTGAAGCCAACTGTCATGACCTTGGAAATGCTTCCTATTGAAAAACAGCAAATATTCACAATGAGTTTAATATTGCGCAATTTTTTTGAGCTATTTTCTGTTTTCGTGTCACGATCGACTTGTCAAACATCAAAAGAGACTATAATCTTAAAGGAAAGATGTCAGACATAACATAGCTAAATGCAGCAAGTTTTTCATCGAGTTTTAAACCCTCAAACCTTAAATTTATCTTTGTTTCTTAATAAAATAGTAATTAGTAATTAAGAATTATACAAAGCATCTTCAAAAATTATAATTAGGAGACTTGTCAGACATTTAGCAGCTTATAAGTCTAAGTTGGAGACCAAAAACATGTCCATGCCAATGATAATGTCTGCAGCTAGACAATATTTTAAGGTTAATCATCACAAATAGCCCAGTTACAATCTAAATCAAGAGCGTCCAACCTTTTTGGCTGTAATCCAAACTTGGTTGTGACCAAATTCGCTTATAGTGTGCTGCGTCACAAGGGTTAGCCATTACTGGTCTTAATAGGTGATAAAACCTGCTTCAAACCATCAAATATAAACCATAGCCCCAAAATAATCAAAACCATCAAAGCCAAGAACGCAACCATAGATCAAGAGTCAAAAAAATTAAATATTTCAACAATAACAGCTTTAAGTACACATAAATCATAAAGCATGCAAAAAAAAGAGCAATGAGATGAAAAACTTTTAATGAATATTTTTCAAATGAAGTAGATTAAATTTCGCCTCCCACTTTTCATTATTCTCATCTCCATCATCATAATATAGAGAAATTTATCATAAACAAATGAAGCAAACGAAATGTGTTTGCAGCTAAAGACGACTATGTATAATAAATCTAAAGCCTTTTTTTTGTCACTTGGTCACTATTCTATAGCTGCATATATGTTGTAGTTTTAGTGTATTTAAGATCATTCATTTGGGGTGGTGGACGTTTGTAAATGACGTCAGCATCAGAATACTTCCTATTTGTATTTTTAAGGCAGAGGGAAATTAGGGACATGAGCTTTATATAGGTCTATGGTCGAATGGGGGACAACAACTTAATGGGGAATTCGATTGAATTTTTTTTTTAAATTTTTTTCAACTTGCTGTTTTCCCCTTGCAACTAACCAAACAACATTGCCTCAAGACCCCCTCCCCTACCCCAAATGTTTGACATCATTAACAAACGACCCTTTATTTATCCCGAACAGCACAAGTGAGTTAATGGAATAGAAATTTGGCACCAAGCCGGCATCCCTCTAACATGGTGCTAGCTTAAATTTAAATCCAGCACCATGCTAGAGTCATACCGGCTTGGTGCCGAATTTCTGATTGATTAACCTTGTGCCATTCGAGTATACTAAATGTGAACAAATACATCATGTGAATGTTTATGATGATGTGCCCTAAATGCATTCCCAGTGAAAATTAAATGAAAAATATAAAAGAGAGCAGGAGGTGGCAAAAAAAACTTTGCAGTTAAATTTCCCACAGAAAATTAATTTTTTTTGTGTGCTGTTTGCATTTCCACATATTTTCCATATTTCTCAGTCAGATTGCAGTGAATAAATAATAAAGAGAAATTCATGAAAATAAAAGGAAGGCAAAAGAGGGTCAAGTTTAAATTTAAATTAATTTAAATGCTCTCCATTCATGTTCATCATACATACGCTCATACTAAGTCGTGTTAGGAAAATTAAAGCGAGGGAAAAAAACATCGTCGACAGGGAAAATTGAGACAAAGCTACATGCGATGAGAAAATAACGTGGCTTGTTGTTGTTGTAGTCACGATTTTAATGGTAGGAGATCAAATTGCAATGTCTGTCGGGGGCGAAAAAAAAAGCAGAAGTAAAGAGGAAAAAAATATATTTTTCCATGCTATGCTAAAAGGATTGTGATATGCTTTATTGATTTCATTGTGAAGATAAACATAGAAAATATTGAAAAATAAAGAGAATCGGATATAAAGGGTAAATAGATTAAGGATGTAAATTGAAGGAAAAGTAGAAAGTGAGAGATTGATAAATAAATTTGATTTGATATTAAGGATAATGTGTATCTGGAGATTTTGTAAGAATAAGGAAGATTGCGAAGAATATTCTTGGGTTAGGCAATGATACTAAGTTTCAGGTTGACTGTTCTGTGTAAATTGTGCTTTAGAATATTCTTGCAAATCAAACCATTACTACAGATTATTAAATTGTACATATTGACAACCAACAGATAAGAAATATTAAGGATAGTTGCTTATTAGGATAAACCAGCATTTTTTTTAAGTATTTCGTATATTAACAATCATTTTATCATATTCAGCCACAGTGCTACAGTAAAAGTCTATTCAAGAACGACACCAGCATCTTTAGGAACTTTAACCTTGTCAGTAGATCGGAAGAAGCGACTGCAAAAATACAAATAATTCAAAACTCCTTCAAACCTCTCAAAAACTAGTAATTTTCTCACCCCTGACGAATATTAGAGTTATCAGAAACAACACTTGCTGTATACAGCTTTTTCAATGGAACAAAATAGTCGTTGACAACAAAGTCTTGATCTTGTTTGCCGAAATTAAGAGCTACAAATAATTGTGTATTATCAATTTCACGTTTGATGATCAAAAGATTGTTGTCAGCAATAGTGACAGTTGAACCATCTTGTAAGACTTTCCTGTTCTTCCTCATACGAACAAGCTTCTTGAAAACATTCAAATGACTTCCAAGTTTATTTCTTTCATCCTTAACATTAACGCCTTGTAGATAATTTGGATTAACTGGAAGCCATGTCTTTTTTGATGTTGAGAATCCAGCCATGGCTGTTTTATCCCATTGCATTGGAGTACGAGCTGGATCACGATCAACAGCCCAGTAGTTGTCAGGTCCCATGTTGATTGCCAATTGATCTACAGTGTCATTAAATGATATCCATAAATCATCCATCACAATTTCATCTCCATAATATGTTACAGCAATTCCTGGCAACATCTGAACCATCATATTGATGGCATCACCACGATTGATTCCAAATCTATTAACAACGCGATGCTGATCGTGATTACCAACAACCCAGTTAGGAACGAATTCAGAACTCTTAGGCATATTATTAATCCAAGCATCAATTTGTGTCTTATAATCAGCTGGGGTGCTGTTCACATTGATATAGTTAATCATCTCAAAATTAAATGGAACCTGACTACCAACACGACCAAATGGATTGCCATAAAAGTCAAGAGTCTTTTCCAGAGTTGTGTAAGCTTCTGTCATTATAATTCTTGTATCACCGCCATGTTCCTTTGTATAACTCACAAATAAATCATGCCAATCATAGACAAGATTGTAAGTCTCTACCAAGTCCTTAGTATGGATGTGGTTATGGTAGCAGGTACCCTCAACATCGGTACACAATCCACTCACTGGTTCATCGGGGAAAGTTCCATTTTCGTATTGTGTCTCAAATATGTAAGGTATGGCATCAACTCTAACGCCGTCGATTCCTCTATCAAGCCAGAATAGCAAGACATTCTTCATTTCCTTGACAACATTTGGATTTCCTGTAAATTAAATTTTTGACAATAATCTAAGCCTGAAAATTGAATAAACTGATTTACTGTAGTTCAAATCAGGCTGCTCAATAAGACACTGATGAAGATAATATTCCTGTCTCTTTTCACTCCATTGCCATGCTGTAAATCTAAACAAACTGTTCCAATTGCTTGGTGGTTCTCTTTCTCCTGTTTCATTGTTAATTTTGCCTGGAGACCAGACATAGAAGTCTTTGTAGTATGGATCATTAGCTTCTGACTTTAAAAACCATGGATGTTGATTTGATGTGTGATTTGGAACAAAATCGAGAATGAGCTTGATGCCCAAACGTTTGCAAACTTTAATTAAATTATCAACATCAGCTAGAGTTCCATATTCCCAGTGAATGTCTGTGTAGTTGCTAATGTCATAGCCGAAATCGATCATAGGTGATTTAAATATCGGAGACAACCAAACACCATCCATTCCAAGTTCCTTCAAATAGGGCATCATGGAAGCGATTCCTTTGATATCACCGATCCCGTCTCTAGAATTTTGATTGCACAAAACTTAAAATCTTTTTAATCTTGACTTGAAGCTTCAGACATTTTAATTCGAAATTAAAGCAAATGTCCAAAACTTATTAAAACCACAAACCCATCAGAATCCTTAAAGCTTCTCGGATAAATTTGATAAAAGTTTCCTCTTTCCCACCAATCTTTTTTAGCTGCTTGAGCAACTATTGAAGCCGCAATGATTATGAAAATTCCTACAAAGATTTTCATTTTCTTGTTTTTCACCACAAAAAAATTCACTAGTTATTATTGTTATTGATGTTGATAGGATTTAAGTTTAGACTGATAACTGATAACAAGCTGAAGAATGATGAAGCTTTTTATAGGAAACAGCAGAAATGGAAATTATTTTTCAATCTGCCGACTTCCAACTGAATAAACAAACAAAATCAATGTCGATTGAGTGAAGGAAATGAAGCAGTTGTAAACAACTTAGTAATCCTAAAGTTTCTGGTCCACCACTGTCATAAGAGAATATAGTTTTATTTATACAGATGATGATGACTAGAATGTTATCCTATGTTGCACGTGCTTCATAACATTTTCAATGTCACAATATCAAATCTTCCAGATGACAATTTTCATAGTTTATAGAAATATCCAGAAAAATAAACAATCCTCAATTAAAACCACAACAGCCTTCTCAAAATTTTTATAGAAACAAATCAATAAAGTCCAATAAAAAATCTATCAATCATATTTTATAAACTGTTAAAAAAATAGCTATTAAACGATTTACTGACTATATGTCACTTATTTTGGACACTTGTCGCCAATATATTCTCTACACAAAACGTTCAAAGCAATAAAAAAAACTATTTTTGTGATAAACGAAGAGATGCTAGCATATGACACTTTTGGCTCATCAACATCAATTAATTATTGATGATCATTTCTAGATTCACATGTTACAAATAAATAAATAAATTAATTGATTGTGAAAAATGTTTTTTTTTGTGAGACTTACATCATCGCTCAATGAGTTTGTTAAAATGACATCATGTCGATGAATTGCTTTAGTGAGCTTTACATTTATGCAAGGGTTCGGAACTGATCAGTTCCGCACTCTTGGATTTATGGGAAAAGGTTCTTGTTTCAATTCAGAGCCTTAGCTCTGAGCCTGGTTTTATGGCACTGAACCTCGAGCACACAGCCTTAGTCTTATATCCCATATTGGAGTACATCCTGAGAACATCGAAATCAATTTCTTTCCTAGGTTGTATTTAAGAAACCTGAAGTTTATTCGAAAAAAATGTCGGGCTCCATTCTTAAAATTCCATTGCTTATTTGACTGATCAAGTCAACAAGTCTGTTGGTTGTATCGTAAAAGACGCTTGGATTCTTTCTATCTCAGACTGACAGAAGGTTCCGAACTATAGAGTTGTCTTTAGACGATCTTTAAGTGCAACAATGGGCTCACGTTAGCACCAGCCAAAGCAGTAAGTAAGGAGAAGTCAAGTGGAGTCATAATATATAAGCGAATCTACCTATTATGAGAGTAAGGCCTTTATGATTAAGTGGTAAAGCATTTTATAAGGAAATGGGTTTGATTCTCAAAAGCTCAAAACTCAATAAAGGGTGCGAAACCGATCAAAATAATCAAAAATGAACAAAGTTGATCAAAATCTAAACTATCAGTTCCGCACCTTTGGTCTTAAGCTTGTACAACATCTGGTGATGGAACCAGTCGACTTAACGAATTTTCGCAGGGTCCAGCACTCATCATCATCAGTGCTCGAAGTCGATAGGGTTCGAGTCAACTCCGAGTCTATTTCGAGCTCTGATCATCATTGCATCATCGCCTTTAAATTCCAATGATGCAGTCAAGCATTTTCATTATTGATATTTTTAACTGATGACCTCAAAATTTCGTCTGTGCACAAAACTAACAATAATTACTACTTGAAGTTTCTTTCATATTAATTTTTTTCTGCATGTTTTTGCAATAAAAAAATTAATTTTACGACCACAGAAGTAAAAGCGGTGAAAAGAAGAAGCGAAAAAATATTTATTTTGTTGCCTTTTAAAGGAAAAAAAGGAGAATCGCTGGGGACGCATTTAATTTATTCATAAATTTTTATTGTTTCAAGTTTCTCTCTGTTGAACTTTCATTCGACTACTCAGCAATTTGCGATTATTTTTTTCCTTTTCCTTCTTTAATTGCTTTTCTGTGCCATTATGTTCTTGTCACAAGAGCTTTACTTTCTTGATAACAGTAAGGGAATGAGGATTATACAATGTATAAACATAGTCATACATACAAATCATAAGTGGAATCTTCATCCATACCTTTCTTACATTATTTTTTAATAAAGACATGATGTAACAGTAATGGAATTTATCATCTACTTGAATGGCAGCAAGAAATCATTTTTTTTTTCTCTAATCGACAAGAGATTCTTGAATAGCAAAAAAAAAGGTGCTGCGCCTTGTTTTATGTAACATCCACTCAAGGCAATTAATGTAACTTTTTTTTCTTATTTATCGCATTTTTTTAACACTTGGTGACTCGTATGAATATGTATGACGAGTTTGCTTCATGCTTACATGCTGGAATGAATGTTAATTGTTTGAGCGATGAGGATGTGATCAAGTTTGCTTACGAGAGATTTTTTTTTCAAGGGCTGAGACTAGGGTGGGGATTTTTTCTAAAATGTTTTGACTTAACCTTCATTATTTGCTGTTTATTGGACTATGCTCATCAAAAATGCATGAACTGACTGTCTACATGCGAGAAGATATCAGATCATATAAAAGGATAAGCATGTAAATCAGGTTGGCCCCTTACAGGAGTGTAGCCAGAAATTTGAAGAGGAAGGGGGGGGGGGGGGTCAAAAAAAATATATGGAAAATTCAAAGGGAAGGGAGGATTTTTATGATTTTTTTATAAAACTCCTAGCAAACTGAAGAAATTTCTGTTAACTTCGGGGGATTTGAACACCAAATCAACCCCCCCCCCCTTCCCTGTTACGCACCTGGCCCCTATTACAGCTTTATCGCCTAAATCCATCCCAATCTCGCTCATCTGTAAAACATAAACTTCAAAGCCAATTCAGAAAAGTTCCTATCCCTTTAGCAAAATCGCACTTCAATCTCTCAAATTACATCAGAACGAGAACATTCCAAGAGTTCTATCGAATCCATTCCAACTTTATATCCTCTTCATCTGATACAGATTTTTTCCCTATTTTACTAAAGTTTTTTTCACATCCAACTTGAAACTGCTATCATATTTAGAATGAACAATGAAATGTTGATCCACATTCAATAAACATGACTTTTATAGAAAACAGAAGTTTGAGATATAGAAAGGATAAGAGGACACTTGACACTTTTGTGAGAGTTGTTTTTATATAGAAAGTGATGTTTTGTGTTTTGGTGATCATTTTACAGAAGGAAAGGACTGCGATGGATGAATCTATGCTATGGTTGGATAGATTCGAGGTTTAAAGGATTGAAATTCTGAATCTGCTGGCATATAAAGCTATATTGACAATATTACATAAGAAAACTATCACTTTCAAATCTCTATAAATTACACTTGTTGTCTAAGACAATTTATCTTTAAAACAGCAAAGAAAAATATTATTTTATTGAAATTTATCGCCTTTATGTGCCATTTTCATTGTTCCTCATTTTTATTTGATGTTATCTATCATGACAGATGGTTTTCACTTTCATTCTTCTTTTGCATATCAATTCATGTTGATTGTATCATGAACCAATTATTAATTAAAATTGATAGACATTTCAATTAATAAAACTGCAAATAAACAATGTAAAGGCAATTTTGAATCTTAACGATTCATCAACAGTTATTTAAAGAGGTTAAGAGAATCAAAAGAATGTCATTTGTTCAGTTAATCAAGAAGTTGAGTTAATATTGTTGAAGTCTTTAATTGAAATTTGCTACAAAATATGAATAAAAAGCAGATTTTTCAATTGGACTTCTTTAATGCTTTGTTTGAAAATGTGAATGAACTTTTATAGAATTTTGGAATTTAAACTATCGGCCAAGTTGGATTTTGTCAAGTTTTTTGGTATTAGAGCCTGTCCTGGATACCACAAGTCAGTTAATCGATCAAAAATCCAACTCTTAACCGACGTGACCTTAGCATGGCACTGGATTCGATTTACATTCGGCCAAACGCCAGAATCATGCCAGCTTGAATTCGGATTTCTGATCCACTAACGTCTTTTGCTATTCAATTGTGCTTTGAACTTTAAAACCCAAAACTTATAGTGAATAACATAAAGTGAATATTTTGAGTGTCGACTTGCTTTAAACCTAGTTCCTGTCCATTTCAAGTGTTAGATGAAGGTTGTTACTGAACCTTCAGATTAGATTCCCTTAAAAAATATCAACAGTACTACTTAGGTGGAATTTAAAGCTATCAATTCACAGTCCTTCAAATTCAAAAATGCCCATCTCTAACCCTGCAAATGTAACTCCATCGTCGAATTAAAAAATCTTTTAATTATTATTTCACACGATATTTAACTCAAAAGCTTAAAGACTAATTTTTAAAAAAGTCCGACTTCCTACAGCCATTCATATATCCTTCATTGTTCTAATTTTATTCTGTTCTCCTCATTTTTATATTATGTTCAAAAATAAACTGTGAAAATCACACAATGCTCTTTTTCTCATCCACTTTTCACTCCTAAAAGAAAATTTCAGTCATAATAACATAGTAAGGCATAAAAGGCTGATTTGCGAAAGAGAATAATAAATTTAATTGGAATGAAGAAAGAAAACTTTTTTTTATTAATTTCCACAAAAGCGATTCAAGAATGAAAATAAAGCATGAATATGATTCAGCAACAATAAAATAAAATAAAAAAAACTTTTCGATCGATCACAGGAAATTTGGCAATATTAATCATAATAAAAGAAAAAAATTAAAGAAGCTAGTCAGTCGTCTATGCATCGATTGACAATGGAATACAATGAGTGACATAATTTAATAATAAAAAAGTGATTAAATCGATAAGAAAGAGTTCCCCTCGCAACAACTAGTTGTAAATTGGAGCTTTCTGAGACTATTACTCTGTGTTATTTATGGCTTGTTTATTAGAAAAATTTATGTAGAAAGTTGGCAGTCTGGAATGCGAGTCTAATGAATTTTTATTAAAATTGATATTTAACTGCTGAGTTTTAGTTTATAGCTTTTGTTTTCTTACTCAAACTGCATTGCTTAGAGTCATTTGTTTATAAATTTCTAGAAAAACTTTTAAATTGTCGTTTAAAAATGACTAAGAAAGTAGTTTCTTGAATTTTGTGATTAATTACTTGAAGAGTCATTCATGAATATAGTCATCGGTGAGTTAATATGAGTTTGAAATCAATTTAAAATTTTGAGGTTTTTTGAGTTTATTAATCGAGAACCAAGATTCAAGATTCAAGATTCAAGATTCAAGATTCAAGATTCAAGATTCAAGATTCAAGAAAACCAAGAACCAAGAACCAAATACCAAATACCAAGAACCAAGATTCAAGAAAATCAAGAACCAAATATCAAGAACCAAGAATCGAAAACCAAGAACCAAGAATCTAAAACCAAGAATCAAGAACCAAGAGCCAAGATTCAAGAACCAAGATTTAAGAAAACCAAGAATCAAGAAAACAAGAACCAAGATTCAAGAAAACCAAGAACTAAGAACCAAGATTCAAGAAAACCAAGAACCAAGAAACCAAGTACCAAGAACCAAGAGCCAAAATTCAAGGGAGTCAAGAATCAAGAACCAAGGACCAAGATTTAAGAAAACCAAGAACCAAGAACCAAAAACCAAAAACCATGAACCAAGAACTAAGAAACCAAGAACCAAGAAACAAAATTCAAGGAAACCAAGAAAACCAAGAACCAAGAACCAAGAACCGAGAATCAAGATTCAAGAAAACCAAGAATCAAGTACCAATAACCAAGAATCAAAAACCAAGAATCAAGAACCTAGAACCAAGATCCAAGAAAATGAAGAACTAAGAAACCAAGAACCAAGAATCAAAAACCAAGAATCAAGAAAACCAAGAATCAAGAACCTAGATCAAGATTCAAGAAAATCAAGAACCAAGAAACCAAGAACCAAAATTCAAGAAAACCAAGAACCAAGAATTAAGTACCAAGAACCAAGAACCAAAATTCAAGTAAACCAAGAAAACGAAGAACCAAGAACCAAGAAACCACGAACCAAGAACCAAGAAACAAGATTTGAGAACAAAGATAATCAAGAATCACAAGTCAAAACCTAAAAATCAACTTAACAAAGAATTAAATCAAAACAACCAAAACATTTTAGGTTCTACATCTCAAAAATTATATTCATGTGCAATTTGTAATAACCTGTTGTTGTTGATATTCACTCTATAGACGCAAGAGCATGACATGCTAAATTAAAGTAAATTTTCTTTGTGCACAACCCAAAATTTAAATATAAAAGAAAAATGCGTTCAACATTTTATGTAATTGACTTTGTGGTCCCACAGTGACTATTGTAGTAGACAACTTCATTAACCGAAAAAGAAAATTGTGTAGTTGATGCTTGAAAAAAAAACTGTCGCATCTTGAATATATTTTTTTCTTTCCCCCATTCTGCGCAAGATTTTATTCTTTATTATTTAAGATGATGATGTAAAAAATGATGTTAAGCTCTTTCGCTCCACTTGAAGAAAAACTCATCATCCTCTCGGATAGGGGGCGTGAAAAAAAATATATATAAAGGAGATAATTTAATATTATCAAACACATTGAAGCTATAAAAAGCTTTATGCATAATTTTTTTTTGTTATGGAAAATATGAGCGATGGATGGAGGAAAATTTAAAATAAAGATAGTAAATGGATTTTTTTATATTTTCAGTAAGTTTATAAGATTATTATTTTTAAGCATATTGTTGGTGTATTTGTAGTTGAGTTTATGGGAAAAATTGAATTATTGATTTATAGAGGATTTGAAGATTGAGTTGACTTTGAGATTTTTAAAGGTGGTCATCAAGAAAATAACAATAGAATTCCTAGAAATCTATTGTTCGTTTTTGAAAAATAACCGTTAATTTTGGACGTCATAAGTGAATGACCCCTAAAATCTTTGATGTCTTCAGCAAACAACGTCCAACTACAACCTATATGTGATTTGAAGCTACCTTTTACAAACATACCCTCTACTTAAAAGTTCAAATTTCCCAACTTTTCATCCATTTCTCATAAAAACTCATCAAAACTTTTTCCAATAACTTCCTAGAAACATCCAAAAATGCAAAAAAAAATTTCCCAACATTCCAAACGCCAAGAACAAGATCAGAGAGAAAAGTGTTAAAATTCAAACTTGAAATACGAAGCAAAGTTGGAAGGGAGAAGAGAAAAAACCTTTTGAAATCAAAACCACCCGTTGCGCTGTCTATTGAGGAGAGCACTTTAGTTTTAAATAATGTTCAGTCAGCACTAACCTTGAGCTCTTAGTGTGTAATAAGAGAAATTATATAAGAAGCGATAAATGCTTTGCTGAAAAGAATTTAATTTGAGCTTCATCGCTTTTCTAAAGTTTTTTATGCTCTGATATTTTATAGAGCATTGAAGATTCTTGTTTTGTGAGTTGAAAACTCATTTAAATTCAGGGTAGAGAATATTTTCCAATAAAGCAATGCCTTGTTGTGTGAAAAAATTGAGCAAAAAATTATTTTTTGTGTATCTTCATAAGATGGCATGAACCCGAGTAGTGCGTTAAACATGGCATCAAATGTTTGTGAAGGAAGGGTTCAATAGCTGCTTGTGAATAAGAGTAATGTAAGGATCTTGTCAGGAATGAAGCTAATATCGTCAGTTGCGTAGCAAGAGGGTGCAAAAGTGTGGTTTTTCTCCCCATTGCTACGCTCCTGGTCTAATTTCAAATCATTTCCAAAATCCAACAATTCCTTAGATCACCAAAAGCGAAGCAAGGGTCTTAATAACTGCTCCTTTTTTTATTCAGTTGATTCATTATATTATATTAGCATTTCTGCTTTTTTATACTTAAATTAATTTTTATAATATAGAGTAAGCATCAACATTAGGTAGTTGCTCATTACAACGGTTGTTCATTAATGAATGATTCGTAAATAAATTCTTTGAGTCTGGTTTTAAATGAACTTATAGAGCTTGCATTTCTTATGAAGTTTGTAATATTATTGTAACTTACAAGGGCACGAGTGTAAAAGTTCTGTTCTCCTAAATTAGTGTTAGTGGCTTCTATAGCAAAGTTGCTGCGATTTCTTGTACGGAAATTGTGTATTTGACTCATTGTTTTAATCGTGACATTATTTTTACAACAATTGTTAATGATTTTAAATAAAAGAATAAGAGAGGAATACTCGCACAGTTTTGAGATTCCTTTTTTGGAAGTTTAGTCTCTTTTTGGTATTCAAGCCAAAGCCTCGCTAAACTTTTGAACCTCACAACGATCTCCAAATGCAACTCATTCAAATTTTCATACATTTTGCTTCCCTCGGTAACCAAACACACAAAAATGATTATCCTTTATTATCATTTAAATCATAAGGATAAAGAAGTAATTCACTTCTTCCGTTCAATTTCAGTTTTTTATTTTTCATTTGCTCTATTTTCCTCTCTTTTTGCATTGCACAACATTTAACATTGAAACAGATAAAAGAAGCTGACTAGAAAAGGAATGAGGGTCTGACTCATGCGACTTTTCTCAGTTGGATATTTTATGGAACAATAAATAAGAATATGAGAATATTGCTACAGTTTCATTTTTTTTTAAAGTTGAGGCTTTTGAATATTAAAGTTGATTTCTTATTTCTATGAAAATTAATTTTTGTAAAATGTTTTCTTAAGGAAAGTCACGATTGACATTTTATTGATTTTTGAACTTTTAAGGTATTGTAATTTTATTTAAGAGAGTTTTGTGGTGATTTAGAGTGTTATTGGGTATGTAAATGTCAATGATTGTGTTATGAAGGGAGAGGTGAAGCTAGGGGATATGGTACTTGACCTTCAGTTTGGAGCAATTTTTATCAAACTGCTGTTTGGAATAAGCGATTTCATGTAATAGCCAGTCAATGATAAATCATGTAGGTGCAAGTGAACATCAAAAATAAAGGGTGTATCTTAAATATGGGACTTAGCCATGCAGTCGTCTAGCCAACGATGGCTCAGTGGTAGAACATGCGACTGTAAATCGTAAGACGTGAGTTTGAGTCTCGCTCGGGAATAACTGCTGGAAGGTTTTATACTTTTTAGAATGATCAAAAAAGGAATATAAAGTGAGTTACTGGTTTTACTGGAACTGCCGAACTGCTGGTTTTGACAAGAAATCTTAAAACCTCTGCCCAGGCACCTACTATTAATTATGATTCCTAGTCAAGATTTTTTGTGATTTTTCATGAGTTTTTTATACTTTTAAACTTTTTATCGTCAAAATTTACAATCATAAGCCACAAACCTCAAAAATATCCATTTCTCATGGCAAAATTCAATGTCATTTTGATAAGCAATTTAATTTCTCTAAATTTCCCACAGCCCTACCCCCAAAAAATATTTTTAATAAAAAATTCAGTACAATACATCCCCCTTTTTCTCGTTATACCAAAAGTTTTATATGACATCCACAAAAAAAAACAACAATTTTTAAATCTCTCCACTGAGAAATTTATTATACACAGCGAATAAAGTATGCTCGTTGCCCTCAAATTTCTATTTCTCTTTTTTTGTCAAATAAATTTATTAATGTATAACTTTTTATGTTTGTTGAACTTCCTTTTAGCAACGACAAATCGTTTTATGACTCATTTAAATATTCACCCGCAAAATATATTCGATTGGAAAATGTAATAAGTCAAAAAAAAAACTCACCAATATCGATATGCTGTGTAGTTGGAGCAGGACAGTTGCTTTCGTCGGTTCCGTCTGTGCAGTCTGCAGTTCCATCGCAATGTTTATCGAGAGATATGCAGCGCGTGACGTCGCAGTTAAATTCGTTATCGCCACATTCTTTTGGTAATGATTTGTGGAAGAAAATTAAGGAATATGCATTAGTGTCATGTCTTAAAAAATTGCTTTTAAGGATTGTTTTTATATTTTTATATTTTTTCTTGGCAAGTCTATTTTTTTGTTCAAGAAAACAAAGAAAAACTGAAGAGTTGGGATCTCATCCAAACTTAATAATTCATTGCGAATTCTGTAAATATTAGCTAGTGAGATGAACAAGCTTGAGAGGCTTCAAGCATGTCAAATTTAATTGAATTATAAATAGTTGTGGTAAAGTTAGGCTGAATTTAATCTCGTTCGACAGTTTGTGAGGAGATCGAATGTTATTAGCTAGCACTAATGCTTAGACACTTATGAAAATCAGAGGATTTTTGAAGTAACATCTAGATCAGTGGTGTAAGGTTTTCAATCCCAGGAGTAAAATGTTCTGCGACCCGGGTTTAGGGTTGGGCAAATATTCGAATATATTCGAATATGAACAAAAAAATATTCGAATATGTTCGAATATTAGAAATTCAAAAATGAAAAAAAAAACGTTATTTGTTGATTAGCATTTTTCAACTTGCCTGTAATTTGTAAATGATAAACAATTCATATATGAGAATTAAAGATATTAAGTTGTTAAATATGCTATAATTAATGATTTTTTGTGTATCCTTTGGTCAAAAGACCGTTAAATGAAAAACTTTTTCTATATGGAAATTCATTGGAACAAATTATGTAATTATACTATAACTAATGTTTTCGTATTGCAACTTTTAGCGGGAAAATTTTCAAATATTTATTGACCGTTAAAATTTTTTAAAAGGCGACTTCAAATATTCTTTGATATCAAATTTTTTCAATTGAAAAAATCATGTTAAACAATTACTCAAATAGATCTAATTTTAATGGAAAAGCAATGGAAGTACTTTCTTTAGCCAAATACGTCGATATTTTAGTTGTAAGTTATTTAATTAATTGTTAAACATTTATTAAAAAAAATAACGATTAATAACGGTTATTTTTTGAATTACATATATTCATTGCGCACATTATATTCGAATATATTCGAATACGATTCTGCCCAACCCTACCCGGGTTTGATCCCAGGATTACATACATTTTAACCCTAGTGATGTGAAACCTTTTCTATGCCACGACTCAGCTTTGAAGACAAGATAAAAAATTCTAGGAATTTTTCAAAATAATTTGTCGCTCTCTAGTATGCCGCGGCACATAAGTTTGCCATCACTGATCTAGAAAAGACTCATATTTCTTTAACTCTGATTTTCTCAAGGGTGTAGTACTGATGAAATGATCAAAAATGAACAAAAATGATCAAAATTGATGAAAAATGATCAAAATACAATTCTTCACTTCCACACCCTTGGATTTTCTGCAACTTTCATTAGTGTCTGCGCTTAAATATTTGATCTGCTCTACCCAGGGTTCAATTTGAATTTCAAGTATAATCATTTTGGATTTATTAATTATTAAACTCAATTTTTAAATAAGATAAACCTCAAAATAATTGAATCTAGTCTATCAAGTGCTTGTTAATTACTTAAACTCTCAAATTCTTACACAAAAAATGGTCATGCAAAATTTAAATTTTATAGTTTTTCGAAAATACAACAAATTTTTAAAGAATTGATTCAATTTGCTCATTTTAAGCAACTATTTAAAGGATTACTATAAAAATACTAAGTGTTGAGTAGATTCCAAAAACCAGCAAATTCAATCAAATCTCAAACAATCAGCAATATTCCTGAAAACTACAAAATTAAATCGAATCTCAGTTGCTATTAGTAAAAATCTTATAAAATCTCAGACATTAAGACAGACCACTATGAAATTAATGAATTAAACCTCTTATATACAACCTATAAAAAAATTAAATTGAATTGTAGGGTTGCAAAATTTAAACGAAAAAAATAATAAATCAGGTCAAACTTAAAATAAAAATCATAAAAAAAATAATAAATAAATCACCAATAAGTTTTTCCTCAGGCTTATCTGTAACTTCCTCAACTTCATCATCATAATCAGTAGGAATTGTCTCTTTTTTATCATCCTCATCCTCAACATGAGGTTTCTCTGTCGATATTTCCAAAGGATTAAAAGTTTCAATTTCAAAATCTCCACTTTCAATGTCCTCATCATCCGGATCTGTTCCTGTTGGACAATTTTCCTCATCCTCGCCATTTGGACAATTCTTAACGCCATCGCATTTTTGAACCTCACAAATAATTAATCGTCCATCATTGCATTTAAATTTATCATCACCACGGCATGTATCGTTGATTTTTGGTATTGGAACTTCATTAGCTTCATGTTCAGCTGACTCCCCAGCAAGTTTATTATCTATAGATAAATTATTTTCATCATCATTATCAGGCGGTCCATCTTCTCCAAGGATTGCTCCTGGAGTTGATTCATCAACAATAGGCTTTGGCGTTTCAAGTGGAATAAGAAGTTCTTCATCTTCATGTGAAGTCTTTCCACTGTCAATTTCATGAACCAATTCTTCTTCTGGTTCTGAAAATGGTGTCGTTGGTGTCTCAATTTCTTCTTCCTGCTCTTCATCGAGCTTTTCACCTTCCTCATCCCTTTCAATAAAATCATCTTCGTCGTCTTCCTCCTCATTTGTTTTATCATCAGGCATTTTAATCGCCGGCATGCTTTCATTATATTCACTTTCTGTACGGTAAAATGAGAATTTTGAATTTTGAGGAAAAATTTTGAATTTTGTGTGTGTGTGTGTGAGTGTGTAAATGATATGAATATTATTTGGTGATTTCCAATGATTAGATTGGCCGTGAGTATGATTATGAATTGTTTATGCCAATGAGATATGCGAATGGATGATCGAAAGATTAATTTTTTGCGTGATTTCATGAATGTTTACGTACAGAAAATTGAAATTAAGTTTTTTTTTTGTAGTGGGAGGAAAGAAGTCGTTTGAAGAAAGATAATTTAGATTTTTTTTGTGTTAATGAATTCTTTTTGGTATAAGATGCAATACAATAATTTACAATATAAATATTTACACATATAAAATTGGATGTTTGTTAAGTTTATTTTTAAAAGTCATCAATAGAATATTGACAATTTTAAAAAAATGTTATAATTAACGCTGTAAGCACACGGCGTGAAAATAATCAAAAATGTGGCTCAGGAAGGCATTAACGAGGTACCTCGATGGTTTTGGTGAAATCTAGAATTGTGTCTCGTTTATGCCGTCCTTGGCTACATTTTTGGCTAGTTTTACACCATGTCCCTTCCGGGTTAAGTACTTCTGACTGTTTATTGCTTTATATACAAACTTGAGTAACACGAGATTATGTTGGAATTGTGAGGAGACTTTAAGGGGTGGCTTATAAGGTCTAGGCTCCCATATAAAGAACCCCAAAAAATCAAAATCTGTTTTTTTTTTCTTTAATTTTTTCCCATTACTTTACTAATTTCCCACTACCTTATTTGCGTTGTTCTGACTTACTGCGACTTTAGTTCTTCATAAAAAAAGATCTCCGAACAGACACTAATTATCCAGATTTCCAGTGAATGCTATTTCATGGCTTTAGTAATGTAACTTGGCTTGTGTGGTTTATGATCTTGATCACATGTGAAGCTATCACAAGATATAATGCACTGATATACAGCAACTTAAGATTTAGAAACTGGACTTTAATTTTTCTATCAAAATTTATCTAAAATTGTATTTTCAGACCCTTTCTTTATGTATTTAATTTGTATGAACCCTACGAAAGCCTTAACAAGCCTGAAAATACTGAATTAAGGTTCGATTTGTCCTGAATTTATTAAATAAAATTGGTAATGTCTATTTCAGTGATCACTGGTTTTTAATGAAAAATTAAAGTTTGAAATTCTCTCAAATTTTCTCATCATTAAGAAGATAACTTTGATTTTTATTTTACGATTTTAAACTTAAATTTCAATGCAAATTCTAAACCCTCAAATTCCTTTTAAAATATCTACAACAATTACTAATCTACGCGTTACTCAAGTGGAGTTTTTATGTACATTTCAATTAATTACAACAATTAAATCACCATTTATTTTTAAAGAACTATTATTAGAAAATATTTATACAGTATTGCATCAATTAATACATCCAGACTTTATACAACATTTTATTAGTGCAACAATTAATATTTAAAATATTTTCGTATTTATTCAATAACTTCCTGGTTCATCTAACTCTTCGAAATGCTGGTTTGTTTAATGTAGAGTGTGAAATATTTTATTTTTATTTTAACGCGCTTACACTTCACATTCGAAGTTCATTTATATGCATGCATATGCATTTTATGTGTTTTTTTTTCTCTCCACAAGAATGTTCGATTCGTTAATTAATTGATTTGCAATTTGAAATTCTGAATGTAGTGCTTATGTAGTGTAATTGGAGATATTTCTGGTAAAAAGTTTTCGTATGTTGAAATTCGAAAGGAATTTTGAAAATTTTTGATCCGAATATCTTGAATTTGAGCGTTAAGGCTTCAGTCTTTTGTGAGTTTGAAGTTTATTCAGTCATTTCAAGACTCGATAGAAGTTTTCTTAATTTTCTTAGTTTGAAGCAAAAATGATCAAAATTGCTCAAAATTGTTCTAAATTGCTCAAAATTGCTCAAAATTGTTCTAAATTGCTCAAAATTGTTCAAAATTAATCCAAATTTGCTCAAAGTTGCTCAGAGTTGCTCAAAATTGCTCAAAAATGATCAAAATTGCTCAAAATTGTTCAAAATTCCTTAAAATTGTTCAAAAATAATCACAATTGATCAAAATTACTCAAAATTACTCAAAAATAGTCAAAATTGCTCAAAATTGCTTGAAATTGCTCGAAGTTGCAATTGCTCAAAATCGTTCAAAATTAGTCAAAATTGCTCAAAAGTAATCAAAATTGCTCAAAATTGCTCAAAGTTGCTCAAAATTTCTCAAAGTTGCTCAAAATTGTTCAAAATTACTCAAAATTGCTCAGTTATAATCAAAATTGCTCAAAAATAATCAAAAATGTTCAAAATCGAATTTAAGTCAACTTCAAGCTTCCCTTCATCTCCAAAAAACCATCCAAACTTCCAATAAGCACCATTCAGAACCAAATTTCAAATCGCCCGCCATATTTGTAGATAAATTTCATTTTTAAGACTTTCGTATACTCGAAAATTAATAATACCTGTACTTTTACTACTACAATCTTGCTCATCAGATCCATCTGAGCATTGAGCATCTCCATCACATCTCTCATTAAGTGGTATGCACTTTGCATTCGATAAACATGTAAATTCCTTATTTTCATCACAAGATTCATCGTAATCACCATCATGATGGTCTTCTTCTTGGTAATGTTCTTCCTGTGATCCGAGACTAGCTAGTAATTCTTGCATATCCTCTTGCTTTTTCGGTTCATGTGTCAGCTCTAATGTCGGTGATTCTTATTAACATAATTTTCATTTTGTTAATTGATTTTTTTTACAAATAATGATAAATTTTTTAAAGGGGAAATAATTAACAAATTAAAAAGCAATTAATAAATCAACAGATACAAATAAAGGAAGAGGAACAATAGATAAAGTAAATGATAAGCAGGTTTAGCACGTGTATGAATGATATTCTTCTGTGATCCAGCCACCATTATCTGAAATTTACCTGTAATTGGTCTCAATATAAAGTCACGTGGATCAACGTGCATGTCCTCAAAAACTCGCTGCTCATTGATTTGTTTGTAAAGTAAATCCCGTAAATCATTTCCGACAATTTTTGGCAGTTCTGATGCAATGTTAATTGACAAGTATGACTCAAACATGTCTCGTTTCCTACAAAAAATAACAAAATTAATTAATTTTCCCATCAACAGATGGCAGAAGCATCTTCGTTGCTCAGTTAAAGAGCGCCATCTATGAACTACTTACTCAATATTGGTAAGTGATGCCATGATCGAGTTATTCGTCGTCTTTTTGTACCAATTCTCAATGTTTTTCTTTACTGATAAGGCGAGCGTTTTGAATTCATCGCTGCTGTGGTCATTAAGGTTTTCATTCCACATTTCATTAATAAGTAGATTAAGTCGGACTGTAAGGGATGAAATAATATGGATAGAATCAGTAAGGATGAATATACAGTTGCTCAGTTGATTAAATCTTGCGATTTAGAATTAAATCTTAGGATTAAAGTTGATTTTTAAGGATATTTGAACGAAAGGCTTCTGAGCTTGGTTTCTTGGGTTTGCATCAATATTGCGGTATAAGAGTCGGTTTCTCAGGTGAACCCTTGCCATACTTAAGTATATGTATGCAATTTCATATCCTTGGGGGCATTGATTATGGCAAGGGTGTCATTCCCTTGAATTTCTATGAAACCAGCTCTAAAACAAGCCCAAGTCACATGAAGTTTAAGAATACCCGAGCAACACATGATTTATATACAGCTTTTACAGACAATTGATGTGCTGCTCGAAAACATCCCAAAAAAATCAAAAAAACTCAGTACTTACATCTCTTAGAATCATCAACATGAGGCAGATCAATAATCAATTTATCCTCAATGTCCGGTATCGTGTCATTATCATGTTCACCAGATCCATTAATCTCATTGTCTTCATCATCATCCTCGTCGTCATCATCTTCATCATCATTCCTATGCCTTTTCCTTCTCAATGTATTATCTTGTAAATTTTTTGAGGTTTCATGTTGTGACTGTGACTTTTGTGCTGGTACAGCTCTCAATTCCTCAACTTTTGGAATTTCTACATCCTGCTGATGAGCTTTCTCGCTATTCTCATCATTATTTTTAATACCGAATATATTTTTAACGCCGCGCTTTAATCGCTGCCAAAGGCCAACATTTTCATTATTTATATCACTAGGATCACTAACACTACGCTTATTAACTATTTTTGTTCGTAAATTTTCATGATTTGTATTGACAGCGGATAATTTATCATCACTTAATGCACTGTCGTCGAACACTAAATCGTTGTCGGGCCGCTGCAAAAGAATAAGCAAAAAAATTGGTTTATTAGACAAAAAAGTTGATATATTTGGAGTCATTAAGTGGTGGTCTTTTAAGGGGGAACACAACATGATGAGGAAATATTTTTGATGGGTAATTCGATTAAATTTGCTGCTATAATGGAGATCCATATCCAACCAAAAATCGGAATCATAGTCAAAAACAGAAAATCAAAAATATTTCCCATCATGTTGTTTCCCCCCCCCCCCCCTTTTGTGGTCTTCCCATAAATTAATTAAATAAGCTGAAAACTTTTAATTTAATTAAGGAATCTTATAAGACGTAAGAAGTGCGGTCCTTGAGATAATCAAAACATATAAGTAGCCACCTAATGAGCTGCGATAAATCATCATTCATTATAGCTTCCAAAAAATTACACATTTTACAGGCATTTGAATTCATAATGAAATTAGCCCTTTTTATCCGAAATTTATGATGATTTAAAGTAATAAAAACATAAACATAACGGTTATTTAAATAATCGCCAAAAAAAAGATCTATCAACAACTGCATTCCACACACGACGTCTTGACATAATTTCCATGTATGCGTGCTGTATGCAAGCACGCGTTTATGCTTTCTATCTGTGCATACAATTGAGTGAGAGATAAAATTTATGTAAATTACATATAATTATTTGATTATGTTGTGTGTTTCTTCATTTGTCTCTTGACATTGGTCGTAAAATACTGAAATGTTTTGTTTTTATCATCTTCAGCAGGGTGAAGCTACACTGAGTTGAGGTTTCGAGTTGGAATATTAACTGATGCTTGGGATTGTTTGGCTGATTAAGATTTTGTTGAAGTTGTTGCGGTACTTCGAGGTTTTGGTGCATGGTTTAGATGGCAAAAATAGGGCAAAGTATGTTAATACTTTGCGGTACATCACAAATGATTTATAGATAATGTTGGGCAATGATATCAAACCTTTTAAATGAGAGTTAAACATAGTTCACAAATCTCAAAGATGTTTCGCATATCTCAATTATGGTTCACAAACCTCAAAAACGGTTCACCAACCTCAAAGATGGTTCACAGATCTCAATTATAGTTTGCAAATCTCAAAGATGATTCACAAACCTTAAAGATGGTTCACATATCTCAATTATGGTTTACAAATCTCAAAGATGGTTCACAAACCTTAAAGATGGTTCATAGATCTCAATTTTGGTTTAAAAACCTCAAAGATGGTTCATAGAGTTTAAAGATAGTTCACAAACCATTAATAATGATTTACAACCTTCAAAGATAGTTCACTAAACCTCAAAGATGGTTCACAAACTCTAAAGATTGTTGACAAACCATAAAAAGGTTCACAAACTACAAAGATAGTTCACAAACCTCAAAGATGGTTCACAAACCTCAAATATGGTTCACAAACACTAGTCTATTCCTTATTTTATTATAAGATTCTTTATTACTATAACATTGACCTTTAAAACCATAAAAAGACAAACTGCAACACTTCTTCATTTTAATCTCTGTCATTTCAAGACCTGATAAGCCTTTGTTGACGTCTCAACTTTTCCTCATTTCTTTTCTTTTCCTCGTCTTTAGAAAAACAAATAAAAAAAAACTTCATTTTTTATTCATTTTCATTGTTGCTAAGCCATCATTCATATTCATGTGAGCATTTATTTATACTTAAATGACTAATTTTGTTTATATTATGCGTCTATTTTCTTTTCTTTACTATCTTATGTATCTTTGTCGCATGCCTTATGTATCATTGTACGTCTCATCGCCGCATGAAAATAGTTGGATATAAATAAAGAAAGTTTAAATTTAAGATAAATGCAGGAATGAATTGAAAGTGATACATTTAAACAAAAAGTATCATTCACACTCAGATGTGAAACGTATTCTTTAAATTCTTCCCATATCGTCACTTGCACTTTCAGTTCTAGAAATGTGAGACTTGAAAATTAACTTTGAGAAATAAATGTGAGGAAGAATAGAAAATTAAAAATGAAACATAAGTGACGTTTAACAGTACATTAGCTGGTAATAGAGTAGGTAAATAAATGAGCATCTTAATGTTCAGTTTATGCTCATAATGAGGTGTTAACATGCTTTTTATTGTTTAAATATTAGATGCTATATTTATAACAATGTAAAAAAAAGAATTTAAAAAATCAAATTTTGAACGCACTCATCACGTGTTTAATGTAACGATTTTTTTGCAATTCAAATTTTTGAACGTATTTATAACGTGTTTTATGTAACGATATTTTGAAATTCAAATTTCTGAACGCAGTCATCACGTGTTTAATGTAACGATATTTTTGCAATTCAAATTTTTAAACGTATTCATAACGTGTTTTATATAACAATATTTTGCAAATCAAATTACTGAACGCACTCATCACGTGTTTAATGTAACGATTTTTGCAAATCAAATTTCTGAACGCACTCATCGTGTGTTTCATGTAACAATTTTTTGGAATTCAAATTTCTGAACGCACTCATTAGGTTTTAACTTGATCAATTATAACTTGATGGAACTGAGCTATTAAAATAAACCCGAGCTCTTTAAAATATCTGGTCAATGAGATCTCAGATCCCCCAGCCGAACGGACGAAGTGAATTATTAAGCTCACTTTTCGAAAACAAGTTTTCAAAAGACAGCCATAAGAAATTCGCACAAACGTCACCAAAACTAAGCCAAAAGTGTCTTCAAACCAATTATATAATTATCACTTTACATATGGGTCACAAATGCATTTCCATACATTTAATATGAGTTATTTGAACATGTGCAATAATGAAATATGTAAATTTATGTTCATTGCTCAATAAACGGATGAGAAAAAGAAGTTTTTCAAACTACACACCCACAAAAAGTGCATTAAAATTAAATAAAAATTTTGCATATTTTTTTTCTGCTCTTCCACTTTTGTCATGTTCGTCGATTAACAACTTAAACTATAACTTTTATGTCTCTTCAATTTCATATGCAAATGTTTTGAAAAGCTGAAATAATTATGGATAACGAAAATTAATTTTTTTATGGCGATGAATAAGCATTACAATCATTAATTATACTTTTTATGACTTTTCAAAATTTAAGTCATTAATTTGTTTTTATATAACTTAGCATGTGATGAGTTTTTCATCTTGGAGATTTTTTTTTATGCTGTCGAGACTTTTAATAGTGCTAAGTAATGTTTAGATCGTTTAGATGTTGCAAGTTGTTAATGATTTTGCTGGCAAATTGGAACTAAATTAATTGCGAGTGAGAATTGTATTGGAAAAGTTGTAAAAACACATAAGGGAGTTTAAATTGGCATGGCTAACTGAATAATCAATTTAAAGCTAAGCATCTATCATTTGATCGTCCGGCGACTGTAGAACCTTCAGTTTAAAGTGAAATCTATGCAAAATCCAGAGAAATAAGAGTGCACAATCAAGACCTTGTAAACTTTGCAATAAGCCTTGCAGAATTTGGTATCAAAGTTAGTATATACCATGGAGCAGTCACCCCAAGGGTGCAGACAGGGGCGTAGCCAGGATGGTTCTTAGGTGCCCGGGTACCCTATCTTGAGATTGAAATTTCACACGAATTTTCTTTAGAGGATGTTGTATTTAAGGTGCGAAACTGATAAATTAGATTTTGATAATTTTTGATAGTTTTTGATCATTTTTAATAGTTTTTGATCATTTTGATCAGTTCCGCACCTATAAATCACCCAAAAGCTAGCGTCTTTATGCTCCTTTAAGCCCAGAAAAGTAGACACATTCAGTATCAAAGATAAAGATACTATACCGAACAGCTGAATCTTAGTATCGTGTCTAGATTAGTGAAATAAAGAACTAGCTTTCAACTTAAACCAACCTATGATCAAACAAAGGATCTTCAGTCCATAAGTTCTTATTTTTTTTTAACTTTGGACACTGACGAGCGATTTAGATTGTTTGAAACTTCACAACATCCAAAAACAATCAACCCATATCTCATATCTGCAATGATCTGCTTTTTAAAAATAAAATTCCTCATAAAAAATCTTCATAATCACTTCCTAATCTGATAACATTACTGACCTACTAAGAGGATTATTCGTAGATTAAAAAATGTATTTTTTTCTGATTATCTCTTATCGTGATTTGACACCTTAAATTGTTTTTATGTGTTCCATACTAGGTTGAGGCTAGTATCAAAATCACCAAATATTTATTCAAATTTTTAATTGATATCACCCTGGCTATTGCCATAAAAAATATTCGTTAATTAATAATCTGATTGAGCAAACATAAAGCCATCCCCCATGTGATGTTGCTTCCCATAAAAAAAGAATAATTTTCAATAACCCACGCGTGAATCTCGTCATAATCATTATTATAAAATTCTCACGACTAAAAAGAGCTCTGGGGCGTTCACTTATTACGTAACGTGAAATAACGACCCCTTGCCTCCCGTCTTGTTACAAAATTTGTTTGAAAAAATTACTTTTGTTTGAACCGAAGACCCCCTCCCCTCTGAGAGCGATACGTAGTAAATGATTTTTTTTTGCGGACCATAAAGATTATCACAATTATGATATCAAAACCAGTCATATATAATAAATAGAAACAGCATTAAATGTCTAGACACATGCGCTCTCTAAACCAGCTCTTAAATGAGTGATTGAATTACAGTTTGCAATAAAAAAAAAGTCGTCTCATTTTACACTAAGAGTAAACATTTGTAAAGCATCTAATGTGCTGTTGTAGATAAAATAGGACATGGACATTGACAGAGGTGGTCCAGACCCACTTAAATTGAATTTTGTTTGGAATAAAATTTAATAATGCGCGAAAAATAAGCTGAACCACATGAACCCTCCCATTTAAACTGCTCCCCTGGTTTAGAGCACATAAAAAACTTGTGAAATGATCAACAATTCTTGCCGCTAAGTCTGTCAAATCGTAAAAAGAATTTATCAATAATTTTTTATGATCTTCGATTATTTTATTGTTTGTGGTTTTTTCTCCTTCTTCATATTTAAATATGATGAAAAATCGATATTCTTACAAGCAAACAATTTAAAGCCTGAAATCTGTTGTAAAAAAAATCTACACGACATGACAATCATATTTAATATGTGTAGCCGATAACGTATCATAAAAGAGATGACGGTAAAT